AATCATTATTGATTAGAGGAATAGAACAACTCTGAGGTACCACCACACACTTATTCAATTGGCTAAAATGATAGAAAAGAAAAATGACAAATGGTGGAGGGATATGGAAAAATTAGGACACTAATACACAGCTGGGGGAATTATGCACTGATCCAATCATTTTGTAGGATAATCTGGAATTATGCTCAAAGAGTTATAAAACTGTGTATATTTTTGACCTAGCAATACCATTATTAGGTCTATTTTCCAAGATGATCAGGGAAAAAAAGAAAAGAACCAATAAGTTCTAAAATATAGCAGTTCCCTTTGTGGTGGCAAAGAACTGGAAATTGAGGGGTTGCCCATCAATTGAGGAATGGCTAAACAAGTTGTGGTATATGATTTTAATGGAATATTACTGTGCTGTAAGAAATGATGAGCTGGTTGATTTGAGAAAAACTTGGAAAGACTCACATGAAATAGTGAAGAGTAAAATGGGTAGAAGCAAGAGAATGTTGGATACAGTAACAGCAATATCGTTCAAAGAATAACTATGAACAACTAAGCTATTCTGAGTATTATAAATATTCAAATCAACCACAAAGGACCTATGAAGGAAGATGTTTCCACCTCCAGAGAAATAACTGATAAATAGAAGTATGCATAGTATGCTTTTATATTTCTATTTACATACACACACACTCTGCGTGTGTGTGTGTGAGTGTGTATGAAATGATGGCATTCTCTAGTTCAGACTGAGGAAGGAGGGAAGGAGACACCTTGGAACTTAAAATATAACAAAAACATTTAACTTTTAAAAGAAGTCCTTCAAAGTTCAGATCAAACATTAAAATGAAACTTTTTTGGATTACCCCAGACACTAGTATCCCCCTCCCTGCCATCACCTTGAACTAATTTTTTATATATTTACGTGTCTTCCCTTATCTTTTTTAGATAAGCTCCAAGAAGAAGAAGAAGAAGAAGAAGAAGAAGAAGTAGTAGTAGTGAGGGGCTGTCTCATTTTTGTCTTTTTATTACCATCATAACACCTGGCATATAATGGGCATGTGATAAATGCTTATTGATTGGCTGATTGGTTGATTGATTGAAAGTACCATGAAGAATATGATGGGGGAATTATTTTAATTTGGATGCATCATAAAAGGCAGAGAAGAGTTCATCTAAGATACTCTGGAAGGAAGGAAAGGCTCTCACTAGGTGGAAACAGTAGGAGGAAGGACAAACCACTCCAGACATGGGGACCTAGGTGAATGAAGCCAAACAGGCAGGAGAATTCATGAGCACAAACTCCTATCAAGTAAACTTGTGACTTTATAAAGAAATAGTATCATGAGACAGTGAAAAGCATTCTTGATTTAGAATCAAAAGACCTGGGTTTGTATCCTACCTTTCGTGCTTCCTAGTCATATGGACATCGGTAAGTCACTATCCATAAAATGTAACTAATAGTATGACCTGCAGTGCCCACTTCATAGGGCAGTTGTGAGGATTAAATGAGATAATGGATGTAAAGTGCTCTATAAACCTTCCAGTATAGTGGAAAGAGTACTTGGCTCTGGAATCAGGGAACCTGTATTTAAATCTGATGCCAATTATCTATGTGACCCTAAACAAGTCACTTAAGCTCCTTGGCTTAGTTTTCTCATCTATAAAATGAAAGGGATTAGACTAGATGGCTTCTGGGGTCCATCTATGGTCCTATGATCTTGTATAACTATGAGTTAGTTATTATTGCTACTAGAGCTGTGATGACCCACATTATAATGGAGCCCAGGGACACAGGTCCTGGCTCTTACAAGAAAAGTAGCTGTGCTCTGAGCAAGAGCACATGCAGAGGACTCTGTATGTAGACAAGAATTGAGCCATAATCCCTGCCATCCCCCCTGGACTTGGCAGCCCACAAAAATCAAAGGAGTCTGTGCATGAGAGTGTGAGGAGTGAGTTGTGTGTTGTAAACTATTGTGGCTATAAACAGTAATGCCTTTCCAATACAGAGATGTTATTCCCCCTGCCTGGAATGTTCTCCCTCCGTTCCCTTGTCTGTGTCCTATCCTTCCTCTGAGGCACAGTTCAAGCCCCACCTCTTCCACCAAAGGCCTTCTCTGACCACCTCAGTTCTCAAGGATCACATTGTCCTCTGGCCTCCTGCAGCATTTAACACTATTACAGGGCCGTAGAGGTAACACAGGAAGAACCTCAGGGCCAACTAGTCCAGACCCTCTTGGTTTTACAGATAAAGAAACCAAGAATCTGAGAATTAAAGGATTTGCCTGGGGTCATCCACAAATAATAAGTATCAGAGCTGGGATTTGAACCGGGGCGTTCAGTCCAAATCCATTGCTCTTTCCATTTGGCCATCCCATGTACTTAGCTTTTAGTCATCAACAAATATTTAACAAACTCACAAACACAAAAATCTCCCACTATTTACTGCATTTTTTCTAGGTCCTTCTTTGCAAATTAAACAAAACAAAGCCCAAAGTGCAATAAACTATTTTTGGTGTTAAAAAAAAAAAAAAGCTCTGCATTGGATTATTCTTGGTTTCTTTGTGTTCTATGTTGCTGTGTGTCCCCATCTTCAAGTTCCAAAGAATGTGACGCTCAGATCCTAAAATCTTAATGAATTCCTTCATCAGCTTACAGCACTGGAAGAATAAATTCACCAAGAGGTGCTAACCTCCCATTTTCTAATTCATCTAAAGGTATGTCACCCTCCAAAGAGAACAAAGGTGACATTTCACAGGGCTACAAAGAAAATACATGAGGAATTCTGAGTTAGCTAAAGTAAGGTATGCATATAGATCATTAGACTTTTGCTTCCTCACAAACTTAAATCCCAGTAATGTTAGTAAGAACAATTTTCCTCCCACACCGGTTTCAACTAACAAGTCTCCAAAGTAGCTGATCTTTAACTTTTACAAAGAGTTTAATAATACATGATCTTCCTTCCCTCTCTCCCACACTACCACACTCACACTTCCCATGTCTATTGTCTATATTAGCTAAGCGAAGACCCACATACTCCCCACCAACCAGATGAGTCATAAATACAAGAGGTATATGGATGTAAATTGAGACTGTATACACTTTCTGTGCCCTCCAGCTAGTAAAATAAAAGCAGTCCACTGAACTTGATTGTATTGTTTCCAGCAATGCGAAAGAACTTTATTAAGTATCACCTTTTACAGCTAATTTTACATGGCATCAGACTGAAGGATAAGTTCTCTTCTATGAACAATAGACCCTAGTAAAGGGCTCATAGAACTTGGCATTATAAATTTGCTAGCCTTCATTTTTCTATAAAGAAAGATAAACTCTGGTTTCACCTATTTAGATGTAAAATGTTCTTATCTCTGCTTTTCAAGATCTCTGAAAACAGGTATGATTCCTGCAACCTAGAAATTCAGGGGCCATTCCCAAAGAATTGGAGTGTTTTCTTGAGTTTTTTCCCCCTTTGCATTTCTGAAAACTTGGACAAAATCAGGTTTAGTCAACCTCCTGTGACCTGTTCTCGCAGAAATGATCTTATGATTCTGGAATTGCGATTTCGAATGTATGTGCCTACCCCAGTGTCTGGTATTATATTACATCAGCATGAAAATTAGCCCAGGCCTAAGGAGCCGGCCAACTTCAGAAGCCTTCTTCATTGCTTGCCATGTAATACATGATATGTAGAGCCTCTGACTTCAGCCAACAGACATTTGGAGACGGTGTTGGCCCTAGCATAGGGTCTAATCTAGCGTGTGTTTAGGTCTGAAAGCGAATCAGAAAAGGCACTCGAGGGCACGTCACAGAATAAGAGCCCTATAAATTCATCACCACTTGCAACTTCCCCTGGCAAACCGACTGCTCATACTGGACTGCTCCACATCTGTCTTCCGTGATACACCTCCAGCTGGCAACTCCCACTCCTCTTTCCTTCCCCAGGAAAAAAGAGTGAGTGAAAGAGAAATAAAAGGAGACGGGGGGGAAAGGACAAAGGATAGGAAAGAAGCAAAACAACCATCACTACCCCCAAGCCCAAACCATCATCAGGTCAATTCTCCCTGGCCCCAGGGACAAGAGGAGTGGATCCAGAAGCCCAGAGCCCTTTGGTCAAATTTGGATTGCCCTAGTTGATCGACCAGAGCTCTTCCCAGGTTTCATTTGGATCTAATCGGGCAATGTGATTCAAGCCCTCGCCTGCTTTACGGGGATCCTACAGCTTCTCTACGCACTGCTGAGCCGCACCTCCGCAGCGCCCCTCTCTCCTTCGACCTCGCGTAGTTGCCTACTCCTGACATCCACTCCCACCCACCCCCCACCCCCATCTCGGAAGTCTCACCCACGGTTGCCTCCTTTTTCTTTTCTTTTTCTTCTCCCTTCCCTAAACCCCCCCCCTCCCCTTCCACCTCAAGCCCGGGTGGTAAGTGTGTGACTCTGAGCTCCCTCCCCCCGTCTCCCACCCCCACTCTCGTCTGTCTTCCCCCACCCTCCTCCCCACCCCCATCCCCAATATCCCCTCCCTTCCCCCCCGCCCCCGGGCCCAAACTCGGGCTCTCCTGGGCCAGCCGTTGCTCTTGGAGCCCTGATGTCTTCATTGGACTCCCCGCAGGGGTTGATGGGGTGTCTCGCTCAGCTTCCCAAGCAAAAGGATCTCGGCTTCGGCAGCAGCAGCAGGAGCAGCAGCGGCGGTGGCAGCGGCAGCGGCAGCGGCAGCGGCAGCAGGAGCAGAGGCAGCAGCAGCATCCTCCAGCCCCATCTAGTGCTCCCAGGCGGCGCTCCCCGCGGCGCAGAGCGCTGCCGCGGCTGAGCTACTGAGCGGCTGGGACTCGAGCCAGCGAAGCCCGGAGAGCGGAGCGCGGAGAGCGCATCGCGGCCAAGCGCAGCGCAGCGCAGTGGGGTCGTGTCTCCCCCCACCCAAGGCAGCAGCGGCTGCACGGACTTGGTCCTCTGGGGGTGGGGGGGAGCAGCAGGGGAGCTGTCGGCCGCGGCGATTCCAGCAGCAGCAACAGCCACAGCCGCTGCCGCCACCTCGGTCCTCCCCTCCACTGGCTCTTCTCCGCACTGCTTCCAGCAGGGATTGCGAACTTTGTATCCAGACCTGTTCAGCGGATCTCTGTGGTCCTGACCTCGGCCCCGATGCGTTTATTGGCTGGCACTCGGGCTTCCTAGAGTTAATGTCCAACTGGGGGTCTGCCGAGACCGGATCAGAGGTAAGTGGGGCTATAGTGGAGGGTGTAGGTCTCTTCCCACCCACCACCCACCCCACTAGGATGAGGATGGAGAGGAGCGGGGATGGAGAGGACCTGGATCCCTTTGGCTGGCCCTGGAGCGCCAGGCGTGGGACCAGGCAGCGAAAGAAAAGAGGGCAGGAGGATGAGACGAGGAGGAGGTGCGGCGGAGCAAAAGTGGGAAAGGAGGATAGATAGGGTGGGAAAGTAGGAAGAGAGAGTGGAAAGGGAGAAGTTGAAAATGAGAAGGCAGAAGGCCCTGCCTAAAAGGGGACTTAGGTAAGTTTGGGGGAAGGTTGTCTTCTCCTCGAGTGCAACCCCTCTAATTCTCCCCCCACCCTCCAGACTCCAGGATGCCCCTCTGTGGAGTCAAGGCTGTGCCACATGATCTTTTCTGTCCTGAAGTAGGGTGCAAGAGAAATTGAAGTAGTCATCCTCCCCACAATTTAAAGTGCTCAGGCTGTCTTCTCCACCCGTGTCTGCCGTAATGCTGGAGGGAAGCTATTATTAGTGAGCTTGCTTTAGTCTTCTCTGGGTTAAAAAGAAATGCAGACACTGGGAGCGTGTGAAAAAGGTGCGTAGAAGTGGAAAGTAAGGAAAACTCCCATGGTTACTTTTTAAAGCAACTTGAATTGTTAATCCCTTCAAAATAGATTTAGTCCACATTATCAATTGCTGTCCTCCCCATATAGGAGGTTATGGAAAAGTGACTGCCCCCTTCCCGAGCATATACACCTGTATGGCTGTTCACCTTCGCATTCCGGTCCTTCAGGACTTTCCAAGACTCTGCCAAGTGGTATAATTTTCTCATTGACGTTTCTCAAAGCCTCTCCCCTCTCCACTCCCCCCAGTGAAAGATGATTTGGGAGAGGGGAGATTCTGCAGCTATTTTCCTATTCTGCAGACACACGCTCTCAAAATTAAACCTAAGATAGGCATAGCACATGCTAGATGTGCCCCGGGTCCAAAAGACTCTGACCAACAACCATTGTATGTATCTTGTATGCATCTGGCTTCCAGTAATGTCAGTGCGCTCGGACCTGAGCTGTAGGATGAGTTGAAATAAATAAAAACTAAAATTCCAGCTATGGCAGGAATCTTTTAATGAATGCTTTGCTTTACTTTTGGACTTTTAAATGTAGCACCTGTAATATTCCCCCTTTCACAGGTGAGGTCTCCAAAATAGCTACCCCATGTTCAAGTTTCTCTGTGGATATGCCTTCATTCAAAAGGATGAGTCTACTTTTTTCTCTACTCTTGGCTTCAAGTCTCCCTACAAATAAATTCCAAGCTGAGGAGACCAATTAATTGCCCATACACACACACACACACACACACACACACACACACACACAC